TAAAGGAGAACCCGTTCAGCCCGTCCTTGACAAGCTGAGAGACCTCTACGCCAAGCTCGCCATCGTTGGAATTGTCTACCCCGAACAAACCAAGTGTATGAAGATGCTGTCGCTGCTGCTGGAGTCATGGATGATCTTCACAAGTGGCCTAAGTCTTCCTCAAAACCAGAGCTCCTGGACCTTGGAGTGGATTCGCACCAAGATACTCGAGGAGGACTTCAAGAGGCGCCAACTGAGGGGAGGTGAAGAGGGGAGCAGCGGCTATGCCATGCAAGGAGGGAAAAGGGGCAGAATTAAGAAATGGCAAGGGGCTGGAAGAGGAGCGTCCAAGGAGGAGGAGCCCTCCAACCAGCAAGGCGGTAGAGGAGCAGGATGTGGTGGAGGCCGAGGTGGAAGAGGGGGAGGAAGGGGACCGGGGAGAATAGAGGGCAAGTGCTGGTATTGTGAGAAAATGGGCCACCCGTGGTTCAAGTGGAGGACTAAACCAACCTGGTGGACCCCCTCCAACAGGACTCAAGATGGGAGCGGCGCCGGAGCGGTTGCCGATGATGAACCGACCGAACAGGAGGAGAGGGAAGCCGGTCAGTTCTTCCACGTTGGAGAGCCGAATGAGGACACAGTGGTCGCCCATACTGGAGCCGCACTGCACCCGCTCAACACGTGGATTCTGGATACAGGAGCGGCATGGACTATGACTCCAAAGGGCCGACCTCCTTCACAAAGTGTGAGCTACAGCAATGGATGGAAGAAGAGAAATTGTATGAGAATATAAAACACAGTTCATACTCGGCTTCTCTGACCTCCATGTTGGCGCATGTTCCCCTGTGTGCCCTCAGTTGAAACACATCTTGGGATTATGCTGAAGGTTTGTAAGGCTGAAGGGCAAACCAAGAGGGTGGAGCACTGATAAATTTGGGAAGCAGCACATACTGTTTCCGCGGCCCATAGCTCTGCCATGCCTTTTGCTACTCTCTTTCCCCCTCTCTCCAACCTCCACTCCCTCTTTCCTCCACCTCTCCTCCTCGCTGGCGGATGGTTAATGGTGGCAACAAAGAGGTGCTGCAATTACTGCAATAGGCTATCTCGCCCCTCTGAACCCAACCTCTATTCCCATTCCCTTCCCTCTCCCCTCATTATCTTCTAATGTGTACGGCCTCATCTATTATCTGGTTGCTTGACCATGTTTCTTGAGATGACTGGCAGACAGATCACCACAAGCGGGCGGAAAGAATTAAGGGAGAACAAGAAGGTGAGCAGCATGAAGGTGAGCAGCAAGAACGTGTTGTGGTTTCAGCAGCTGGTTCATCACTGATGCAACGAGGTGTACCTCTGCTTAGGCAGAGGGATACGCTTGCAATGAGGTTGCTTGATTTTAACCAGGACTGGGAAGTAAATTCTCAAAGTGCAGTGTGCAATAGTTTCGGGCAATGTCCAGAACGGTGGTTTCTGCTGCCGTGGCTGATGGAGAAGCAGTGGATGCTGCATGACCTCGGGTAGGTAGCAACCGACCTCTTTTGCATGCCACCTCCCCCACCCGAGCCCTCCCCATCTGCTGCAGAAGTGGCGGTGGATGCTGCACGACCTGTGGTAGGTAGCATGTTCTTTAACACAACCCACTTGCATACCACCTTCCCCAACTGGAGCCCGCTTCATGTGTTTCTGAAGTCGCAGTGGCAGCAGGAGTGGCAAGCAAGGTGTTACTGGGTAGGTACTGTGCCCCACTTGATGCCCCTCTCTCTGTCTTGTGATGTTCACATAGTTGTTTCCCTCCTCTCCCTCCCCCTCCCCATCCCCACTCCTTGGTGGCAGCAGAGGGACCCCACATGGGATTGTGGCACGCACTCCCACAATCCCACCTCCCCATGGTGGCGTTGAGGTAGGGCGACTCAGGGGAGGTGAGGGCTGCGGCAACAACAAAACCAAGGGCGCTGGGGTGGTGGTGATTAGGATTTTAGATTGGAGATTTTGTTTGTTTTGTTAGCAGAAGTATATTGTTGGGACAGCTCTGCACATGGACCCTTCATCATCCCATACATCATTCCATAATTCAACCAGTACTTCATTCCATACCCCATCCTATACCTCATCCCATACGTCCAATACCTCATCCCACCCCCCTCCCCATACGCCATTTCACACTTCATCCCCTGCCTCATTCCTCACCTCATTTCATCGCACACCTCATCCCACACCCCACCTCATACATGCCTGGTTCCACTTATTGTCATTTCTAAATTTCTTTTGTTTCTATTATTGCCTTACCCTCACATGTCTGCCTCCCACACTCATGCCTACCCTCCTGTTTGTTTCCCTCCCCTCTCTCCCTTTCCTCATCCTCCCTCCCCCTCCCCTTCGCCTTCCCCATGCCCCTGCCGCTCCCTCCTTGATCGGCAGTTGATGGTGGCAGCAGAGGGATGCTGCATGCACTCCCCAAAGCCCACCCTCCTTCCTCCTATCTCCCCTCAGCTGCTTCTACCAGCCACCTCCCCATGGTGGCATGGCGTGGAGGGAGCGCGACTCAGGGTAGGTAGTGTCTGGGGCATGAGCGGAACCAAGATGCTGGTGTGCCGGTATTTGGCACTCCAGTTGGGATGGTGTTCAGCTTTGGTATTTCGTTTGTGAGCTACATGAGCAGCCATAGTTGTGCGCTCAAGCAGGAAAGCATAGAGGCGGAACAGCTGGGCACATGCACCTCATTCCATACCGCATCCAATACCGCATCGAATACCACTTCCCACACCTCTTCTAATACCTTATCCCATAAATCGCATAGCCTTTCCTGCACCTCATCCCACCTCATCCCACGCCTCTTCTCATACCTTATCCCATACATCACATAACCTTCCTGCATCTGATCCCATACTTCATCTCATACCTCATCGCATATTACGCATTGCACTACGCTGTTGTTTCTGAATCACTTTTGCTTCCCTCGGTCATTTACCTCTCTTGCACTCGTGCCTGCCCATCACTCAGTCACAGCATAATCATGCGAGGACAGAGTGGTGCAGATGGGTGTCACACAGCAGCAGAAGATGAGTCACTAATAACCAGCCAGGGGGGGTGCATTCAGTGGGCGGAGTGTGGCTGAAGTAAGGTGTAGGTTTTTCAGGTTTTGCCAACATCCTTTGGACCCACAGACGACACCTTTCCCTTCTTTCGACATCTCCCGGCATAAAGTCCGCCCGCTATCACCCAATCCCCCCTCCATTCCCCACTCCCCCTCCTCTCCTCGCTCACATCTCTCCCCCCCCTTCCTCCCCACCCTCCACCACCCCAACCCTCACCACACCTTCGCTCCCCTCGTTCCCCCGTACTCCCTCCCCCCTCTCCTCGTTGGTGGCAGAGGGAGGCACAGCAGCACCAGCCTTACCTTCCCTTTCCTTGCCCCAACTCCTCCCGATTTTTTTTGGGGGGGGGGAGGGAGAGGGGGGGGGAGAGGCTTTTGGGTGGGCCCAGGAGGAAATCTGGCCCCCTTTCCTACGACGATCCACTGAGAGCATGTGGTAACAAGGCATCGAAGGCCCAACTCCTCCCCCTGGCCTCCCAATCCCCTTTCCCCTTCCCCACCCCTATCTCCCCGCAGGTGCTTCTAGAAGTCACCCCGAATGTATTGCACGGCGTGCAGGGAAGTGAGGCTGCTAGGGAGGTGATGCTTAGAGCACGACCAAAACTAGCATGCCTGGAGTGGGGTTTATCAGCAGAATTCCGATCCAAACAGCTCATGATGGAAGCATGTGAAAAGTGGAGCCATTACAGCAACAACGTCTGTGTGCTCTCAGCATCAGTGCAAGCACACCTCATCCCAGGGTTAGGAGTGGTCCACGTATACGTACCACAGTGCGCCACTCAGCAGGTTAATTGTACCGTTTTGGACAAGTCGTTCTTTTCCCGATTTCGTACAAGCAGCTCTTTTCATACTTTCATGTACCACGCCCGTACCTCAGCTCTCAGAATCAATCGCTCCACCTGCACCACAATTGATACTAGCGGCTTGTAGATCTGTGCATTTGAAACAGAATTAACTACCACAGGTCTAGTGACCCTAGTAATGTAAGCTTCCCTCCACTTAGGGCTGCTGGTGCTAAGACCATATGGCAACGCATTAGTCGTACACTTAGAGCACTCAGCCTGGCATCATGGCGTCTAATCCTGCTTTCAAAATCCTCCGCGCAATGCATTCTGTGAAAGATTCCACCCCTCTTCCAGAAATGCCCGACGACGATGCGCCACTTGAGCTAGGCGGATTGTACTCGTCGCGAGATAAGTGTTTCGAGGCTTTACAGTAATACGCTCTCACGCACCACTTCGGTTATCATGTGCACTTGACGAAGAAGAAGTATGTATTGGTCGGGTGTAAAGCGGTGGCTGATAAATTGCTGAACGTGGAATGTTTCTGGCACTGCACATATCGCGAGGAGACTGACACTGGTTATTGATGGATTACGACCCTAGTCCCGCCGGAGACCCATAACTGCCCGGCACCGGACCGGTACGAGTTCGCAGTTTCCATCTCTAACAAGTTACATGTCTTACTACGAGCCTACGGCAACATGGTCCGCGCCGATCCGTTCGTGGCACCCATTGAGCTGATGAAGCTCATGGAGGGTCAAGGGGGGGTCGAAATCCATTACTGGCAGGCATGGCGTCTGAGAGAACACATAATCAAGGAAATGTACGGGGATTGGAAGGAGTCCTTCCGGCAGATCCCATTGCTTGTCGACCGTTTCCAGGTCATTGACCCGGAGGTGAAGGTGCATCTCGATACGCTTGGTGGACTCTTTCACCGTTTTTTGTCCGGCCTTCTGCTGCCCGCCACGCCCTCACATTCTGCCGTCCAGTCATAGCGTTTGATGGTACCCACCTCATCAGCGCGCAGAAGGCAGTGCTCCTGGTCGCCGTTACGCTAGATGGGAACCAGAAAGTTGTGCTGCTGGCATGGGGCTTGGTGGAGTCGGAGAACAAAGAATCCTGGACATGGTTTTTGAAGCACTTCATCGATGGGTTTCCTGAGTGGACGCAGCGGAAGCACGCCTCCATCATCAGCGACAGAGATAAGGGTTTGGTTCCAGCAGCTCGATAGGTGATGCCTAGTCACATCCCTCACTACTTCTGCGCATGGCATCTCGAGCAGAATCTGAGGTGATTCAAAGCAAAGGCGCAGAAGTACTTCTGGAGGTTGGTGAAGTGCCGGAGCATGATAAAGTGGATCGACCTGGTTCTGGCGTGCAGATACATCTTCCCGGAGATGGCACTGTATCTTTTTGGCCCCGAGGAACCACCCGCACAGAGCGTACCCCCACCTGCTGAACCTCAGCCCCCCCCACAGGAGCGGTCAACGTATGAAGGCGCGCGAGCATACGTTTTTGCTGCTGGCCGTCAGGGACAACGGGAGGCCTGAAACGCCCGCCACGGTGGCGCAAGGGGTGGGACCCGGGGCCACAATCAGCCGCAAGGTGGCATGGGCGTCCCCGGTGTCGGCACCGCCCGGTTCAACCGGGCTGGTGGCGGTCTGGCAGGGAGGGGTGGCATCAACGCTCCCAATGCACAGGTCTTTGGGCGAACCTTTCGAGGCGGGGCCGGCAGCAGGGGAGTTCAAGGTGCCTTGGAGAGTGATTCTTCAGGGGATGATGCTCCCGGATTTACAGGGGGGGAGTACGTGAACGGGGCACGCCTGGCACAGGAGCTTTCCAGTTCGGGGGGGCAGGACTGGGTGTCGGAAGTGGGACAGGTTTCGGGATGTTTGGACCAAGTGGCAGCAGGGGCTTTGGCTATGGCCGGAGGGACGGGGGATCAGGGTCTGCTGCAACGCGACCACGATTCGGTATGGAGAGTGGTCAGGGTGTCGGTGGGAGTGGCAGCGCGCATGGTGGAGGTTTTAGTCGCGCGTCTGCAGGGGGTGGGATGCCAGTTTCTGGCGGACATGGCGATGGGGAGAACGACCTAGGAGGCACCTGGGATGACGGCCCGGGCACCGGCGGATTTGGGTTGGGAACGCAGGAGAATACGGCTGGGGTGGGAGGGGTGTCTATGGGAATGGGAACCAGAGTCGGTGTCGGGGGGTTCGGCATGGGATCGGGAGGTGCCGGTGGATTGGGTTTTGGAACATGGCCGAGACGTGTGGGCCGTGGGACAGGATCGTTTGAACAAGGGGGAGGGGTGGGCTCGGGGGTGGGGACCGGGGAAGGCATGGGGGGCTTTGGCTTGGGCATGGGACCTGGAGGAGGAATGGGAGGGGTGGGCTTGGGTGCAGGGAGTGCCGCCAGGTTTGTAGGTGTTGGCGGTGGGGTGGGATCTGGAGGAGTGGGAGGTGTGGGCGTGGGTGCGGGGACTGCACAAGGTATGGGGGGCTTACACTTGGGGTTAGGATCAGGGGTAGGAGGGAGGGGTGGGCGTGGGTGCAGGGAGGGGTGGGCGTGGGTGTAGGGAGTGCCGCCAGGTTTGTAGGTGTTGGCCGTGGGAGGGGTGGGCTCAGGGGTGGGGACCGGGGAAGGCATGGGGGGCTTTGGCTTGGGCATGGGATCTGGAGGAGGAATGGGAGGGGTGGGCGTGGGTGCAGGGAGTGCCGCCAGGTTTGTAGGTGTTGGCCGTGGGGTGGGATCCGGAGGAGGAGTGGGAGGGGTGGGCTCAGGGGTGGGGACCGGGGAAGGCATGGGGCTTTGGCTTGGGCATGGGATCTGGAGGAGGAATGGGAGGGGTGGGCTTGGGTGCAGGGACTACTGCCAGGTTTGTAGGTGTTGGCCGTGGGGTGGGATCTGGAGGAGTGGGAGGTGTGGGCGTGGGTGCGGGGACTGCACAAGGTATGGGGGGCTTACACCTGGGGTTAGGAGGGGCAGGAGTGGGAGGGGTGGGCGTGGGTGCAGGGTGTGCCGCCAGGTTTGTAGGTGTTGGTCGTAGGGTGGGATCTGGAGGAGGAGTTGGCCAAGTGGGCGTGGGTGCGGGGACTGCACAAGGGCTGGGGGGCTTTGGCCTGGGGTTAGGATCAGGGGCAGGAGTGGGAGGGGTGGGCGTGCGGGTGGGGACTGCGGAAGGCGGCGGGACTAGCCTTGGAACGGGACGTGAGGGAGTAGGAATGGGGCCTGGCATGGGCCCAGGGTTCACGAGTGGCACAGGGAGAGGCTTTCGTTATGGCAACGTGGGCATGGGCCATGGAAGCGGGCAACGTACACAAGACGGGCGTGCCGGAGACGGTGGTGGTGGTGGTGGATCACCGATGGTGGGTGTGGCACCGTCCGGAGGAATTCCCATCGCACCAGGTGCCACAAGAGCGGGTGGACCGTTCAACCTGGGTGCAATTTACAGGAGAGCACAGGAGGGTTACAACGCCGATGCAATCACTAACGAAGTAGCTGCCCAACTGCATACCACCGATCAGAACAGTTGGCGACATTCGGCATTGGATGTCGACGATAACTTGCACGCTGGCCTCACTGAGATCCTTGCACTGCCATGGCCGGATACGGGACCGCATGGCGACGCCCTTCATGATGGGGAGGACGAACCGGGGTACGAGGATGACGAGGATGTGCCCGACGAAGGTGTTCCAGGAGCGGGTGACGTTGAGGGCGAGGAGGAGGGGGCCATTCATGTGCAAACCGGGTTTCACTGCAACAGGCAGAGATCACGGTACCGAATCGGCGGGATCCAACTGTTGCACTGGGCCAGGCCTTTTGCTACAACCCGCAGGTACGGGATTTACACCAGCAACGCCGGGGAGACCCTGAACGGAGCAATCAAAAAAATCAGGATGCTGCCCCCTACCTGGCTGTTGGCGTCATTGTGGGACTGGTTTCGGGATAAGTGGTATGAGCACCGCGCCGAAGCTTGGCGGACACACGACCATTTGACTGCAGCAGCAGCAAAGCGAATGGCCATCAAGCTCAGACTTTCTAAAGAGTACTTTTTCCTCCGTGGAGATGATAACGCAGGGACGATCGAGACTCGTGGAGGGGAGAACGATGAGGAGTGGAGGAGCTACAACGTCAACTTGGTGACTCGATCATGTGAATGTGGGAACTGGCAAGAGTACAAGTTTCCTTGTGCACATGCTTTCGCTATGTGTGTCAAGAAGAAGAGATGCCCGGAGATCCTTGTATCTCACTACTACACCACAAGCAACCAACGTAGGATGTATGCCCCGAACGTATGGGGAACGTGCGTGGACAGGCTGGTACGTGAGGCCTCTTCTGCAGCTGAAGGTGTGTGTGATGCACCACACCTGATTGAAACAAGGGTAGGCCGCCCGGAGAACAACGAGCGCATGGAGGCTAGAGGCATGGGTTACAAGTGCGGGAGGTGCGAGCAGCACGGTCACAACAGGAGCACCTGCAAGTGGAAGTTTGGGGGTTACAGCATTGGGCAAGGGTTTGGGATAGGTGCTGGGGGTGGTGTTGGGAGAGGTGCAGGGCGTGGAGTTGGAACTGGTGCAGGGCATGGAGCGGGAGCTGCCGCGGAGCATGGGGCAGAACCTGACGCAGGGGTTGGAGCTGGGATTCCTCTTGTCAGCGGAGTTGGGACACCTGGTGAGACTTGGGATGGGCTTGGTGCTGGGAGAGGTGGGGGGCAAGGAGCGGGGAGAGGTGCTGGGCGAGGTGGTAGGCGAGGAGCGGGGAGAGGTGCTGGGCGAGGTGGTAGGCGAGGAGCGGGGAGAGGTGCTGGGCGAGGTGGTAGGCGAGGTTCTGGGAGAGGTGTTGGGAGAGGTGCTGGGAGAGGTGCTGGGAGAGGTGCTGGGAGAGGTGTGGGGCGTGGTGCTGCTGTGAGTGGTGCTGGGAGTGGTGCTCTCGAGAGTGGTGCCGGGCGTGGTGCTGCTGTGAGTGGTGCTGCTGCGAGTAGGGCTGCTGGGCATGGTGCTGGGAGTGGTCCTGCTGGGCATGGTGCTGGGAGTGGCCTTGCTGGGCAGGGCGCTGGGAGTGGTGCTGCTGGACAGGGTGCTGGGAGTGGTGCTGCTGGACCGGGCGCTGGGAGTGGTGCTGCTGGACCGGGCGCTGGGAGTGGTGCTGCTGGACCGGGCACTGGGAGTGGTGTTGTTGGACCGGGCGCTGGGAGTGGTGCTGCTGGACCGGGCGCTGGGAGTGGTGTTGCTGGACAGGGCGCTAGGAGTGGTGTTGCTGGACCGGGCGCTGGGAGTGGTGCTGCTGGACCGGGCGCTGGGAGTGGTGCTGGTGGACCGGGCGCTGGGAGTGGTGCTGCTGGACCGGGCGCTGGGAGTGGTGCTGCTGGACCGGGCACTGGGAGTGGTGCTGCTGGACCGGGCGCTGGGAGTGGTGCTGCTGGACCAGGCGCTGGGAGTGGTGCTGCAGGGCACAGTGCATGGGAGTAGTGTTGCTGTGGGTGGTGCGATGTCTAGTATTGGGAGTGGTGATGCTGGGAGTGGTGCTGGCCCTGGATGCAGGGAGTGGTGCTGGAATTGTTGAAGTGCTATTGTTCCCGGCACCTGCAAACCATGTGACATTTTTTTATTATTATTAAATTATTTATAGGGATACGACATTTATGTCATCATGCTGCGGTCGGGCAATCCAACGTTGGTGAAGCATCCGGGTGGTTGCAGCAAAATACCTGCAAATGCGCTTCTTCAATGTTGCTTGTATAGTTGTGAGTGCTCTTGGTGATCATCAAACAGAGGTGCCACATAACACCCAGCATAGGATGTATGTTTGCCGTCCAAATTCGTGTGAAATCGGTTAGCCATCCGTTACGCCCGCGTGTAAGGCCCGTGAGGCCTCTGTATGTGTCCAGCAACCAGACCCTAAACCAACCGTTAACCACACGCAAAACTCTCGTCAACGCCCCCTGAGGCCTCCGTTTGTGTCCCGTGACCTACCCTTTAACCTCCCTTTACGCGCCCGTCACGGCTACATTTAGCAATAGTCTGCTTTTCCAAGCGGGGCCCAAAACCTCACGTCAAATCCTCGTCAGAGGGCGGTGGTCCGCTTCACATGATCCGCGAGTGACCGAAGTAACCACCCGTGTATCTCGCGTCAAAGCTACGTGAGGCACCTGAATGGGCCCCGAGTTTGCACATGTATAGTTGCGCGGAGGTTTTGATATGGTTTGCGTCGTTGTAATCGACAGTATCATGTGAGCATTTGAAGAACAGCGTAAAGGCAATTTAGGGTACAAAATAGGGACACAAGATGAAACGCGTGGGTACACCAGATCGTTAACCTACACCAGCTTAAATTCGGTTCACATGGGTATGGCCTTCCGGTGCAAAAAAAACCCTGAGAATAGGTTCACCAGATAGTTGTGGTTGGATCATGTTCATATATGATTGTGACGTATGGACACTAAAAGATTTGGACGAAGTTAGAGGTATATTCTTATGATCGCATTGATTTTATATCCCCTCTGATATGGGGTATTTATATCCAGCTGCCACACTCCAATCCATGAGAACCTTCAATATGTTATCCTAGACACAATCGATAATCATACCGCGGAGCAAGGTATTGGGTAAAGCTTCTCTCTGGATGTTGATCTTGACCTACAGAAACAGTGAAGCGCATAAGAATATTGGTCAAATATGAGACTGTTGGTTGGACTACGGTTGGTTGGGGTGCCTTAACCTTAACCCTTACTGTTGTACCCCCTATAACATATATCAACTATAACACACACACATTAACCATGCAGTTGCACCCCCTGTACGATATTGGAATATTGAGAACACAAAAAGTGGTTTATAAGATATTGTGTCTCGGGAGCAGTGGATGGGTGTCCGGGATTCATTTGCCCGTACAGATAAACGTAGCGTAGTAAACTCCATTCATGGAAGACGGGGTGATTGTAAAATGTCATAGATGATAGAAACATGCAATGCCAAGTCTATGAGTAGTAACACATTGCAATGGCGAAACGACCAAACTAGCCATGTACTCTAAGTACTAGCAGATGCCTTATATCATAATTTGTACTTTTGCAATACACATTGCAGTGATTGCACGCACCTTCCATTGCACCCGTGACGCATGGCAATGTTTGACTACGTTGGCAGATACGAGTATCACGTTTTATACGCCAGCGTATTATACGCTGGGTATATATGCGGTACGCCAGGGGTGGCGTACTGGTGATATGTAAAAATACGCTGGGCGGGCAGGTAAAACTATTTTTCCCGGGCAGGGCTAAAAAAACATGTTACAAGGGGGGGGGGGGGGGGGGGGGTATGTTTCCCAAAAACACATGTCATAATTTAATTTCATAAATATCCAAAAATACATCTTCGAGGCTGCTTCTCCCCACCCTTCATACATCCCCACCCCACCCTCTAGCTATCCCCACAGCCGAGTTCCTTGCGGAGCTTTTCCAACACCACCCCTGCCCCATACTCATCCGCCAGAACTGCATCCTCTCCTTCCCCCCCCCAACAGGTCATCCTCCTCCTCCTCGTCCATGTTGTAGCCGCAAGGGATAGGGGCATCCGGGATGTTACTGGGGACAACCGTGCTGCCCCCATCCTTCTTGTACCAATTGCGCACAACGTTCCAGTTGTGCACAATGTAGACGAGGTCCGCACACTTGGCGGCGAGATGGGCTGAGTGAGCACCCGGCATGCGAGGGTGGCAAGCTCAGGGTACTCGGTGCTGTGCCACGACCACCACTGCACCATGCTCATCTCCCCCTTCTTTACTGCCTCCCTTGCAGAGATGGCGGCCGGCGTGCCAAAGCTGCCCTCCATGTTGATGTAGGCCAGCAATGCCTCCTGCAGCACAAGGGAGGCACGGCGAGGGGCGCCATCCTTGCCACGCCTGAAGGTTTTGTTGTCGTAGTGGCGCTCGATGTAGGCCTTGAACACTCGAGTGCACTCCATGTCGTTCCTGAAAATTCCCTCCACCTGGTTGGCCGGATTCAGGATCCGGCCAACCACATGCATGGGGCAGGCAAGTGAGTTGTCCCACCTGTCCTTCACAATCTAGGTGATATCAGCCTTTTCCGCCCTTGTCAAATAGTCCCCTGCCTTGTCCAACTTGTCATTGATGTCCTCGGTAAGTTGTAGCATGATATCATACATCTTACCCATCATCCCCTTCGCCGAGGAGTCCGTGGCCCGCATGGCCTTGTACGGCACCGCCATGAGAGAGGTAAAAAACACCGCCAGCCCCCACCACTCCTCATCCATCACGGCAGCCCTGAACTTCTCGGCTGCAGTCTTCCTGTCCTTGTCCGCCACTGCCCACTCATTCCACTCGTCGCTGAGAACCATCTACGCCAGCCCACCCCGCACCTCGCACAGCCGGGACAAAGCTATGTACTGCGTCCCGAACCTGGTCCCCGCGGGCTTGAGCACCTGTTTCCCCCCACCCTTCTTCATGTTAGCACGGGTGAAGTGGTGGTTGCGCACAAAGGTAATCATTATTCCCCCCTTCTCCACGAGCCCCTTCGCCCATCCCATCTTGCCCACGTCTTCCATCATCAGGTCCAGGACATGCGTGGCACATGGCACATGCTCAATGTGCGGCCATGTGCTCGCAATCTTCTTGGCTACCGAGGCATAGTTGCTGCCGCCATCAGTGCAGACCGCCACCACATTCTCCGGCCCCACCTTATCAATGACGGGGCGGAGAAGGCTGGCGATGTACCCCCCGGTCTTTGACTCCATGTTGCAGTCCACCGCCCGCTCGAACACTGCGCCTGAGTCGTTGACAAGGAGCACGTTGGCCTGCGGGCGGCCACAACGGTCAGTCATCATGTCCGACGACACGGTGACCCCGTCCCGCTTCCAGCTGGCGGCAACGGGGGCGAGCGCCTCCTCCATTTTCTGCCGCACCTTCTTCAAGCCCGCCCCTCCAATGTAGCGCCTGTTGGGGGAGACGTACCCCGGTCCAGCGCGCGCAAAGCACTGGACCGCGTAGCGGAAGACCGGGTCATCCGCGTTGCGCTCGGGAACTCTTAACGCCGCGATCAAAAGGCAGAGGGCATTATCCTTGGCGCTCGTCGCCTCATCGCTGAAGGACGTTATCTTCCCCTTCTTCTCTTAAGAACCAGTGACCCCGCCCAGCGTGGAGTCAATTGCTGCAGCGGCCGCCCCTCGTTTGACGCCCTGCTTCTCCACCTTCTCCTCGTACATGCCGCGCACTTCTTCACTGACTGCCGTGGACACCTTCTTGCAAAGCCGGACAGCGCGTTTCTCCTGCCCTTTCCATTTCGCAAGGTGAATTGCGCAGCGATTGGTTCCGCCCTCAAACGTGAAGTCACTGAACTTACACATCTTGGGAGTGCCTTTAGTATGGTACAGAATAAGAAAATGTTTCAGAATGGGGTTCGAAAGGCCAGCCTCGACAGGCTCCCTATTGATTGCGCCAGTAGATGCGTTAACAGATGCAACATTGCTCGTCACAGTAGGAGGGGTGGAGTTAGACGCCATGAGGACGAACAGGAGAAGAGAGCTACGGGAATAAAAACGAGCACCGCAATTGAATGAAACAAAGGAACTCGTCATCCATTATATGAGGAGATGCGTTGCTGAACAACATTTGAGAGGGATGGTGAGATGAGAGGTTTGGTGGGGTGGTGTGTGGTTGGGGGGTTGGAAGGTTTGGAACTCGAATTCTGAATTTCAGAACTGGGTTGGGCGATGTGCGACTTCGCGGTAACAAATCGCGAAGTCGCAAAACCTTCGCGAAATTTTTCAATGTCAAAAAAAAAAATTTGCGGTCTGCCCGGGCGTATTTCCAAGAAATACGAGTGTATTGGCGTACCACGTACATACGCAAGCGTATGTACGTGGTACGCAACACTGCTCAGGGCGTATCTGCCAACGTAGATGTTTGGTAACACGTATTGAGAAGGATGGCTAGTACGTTGATGTACGTGTAGTACGATGACAAATATGTTCACTTCGGTTTTTATTCTTGATGAAGGTGTACGTAGTCACTTACATCACAGTTGAAGGCCTTCCAAAGTAAAGTTTGAACATATTTTGTACTCTTTTCTACGATGACGTTGGACCGGATACAAAAGGTGTATAGCATGAGGCGCTATATCAATGCTAATTTACAATGTGTAGATGTACTCAAACCAGCCTGAAGCAACCAGAATGCTTTGACGCGTATGTCACCCTTGCAGGTGTTGTGCAGCATCCATCCCGTCAAGATTCTGCACAGGTGGCGACTAATCATTCCAACCCAGCAATCTTTCAACACACACGACGTCATCGGGCAGTCCTATGCGCGAGTGCCATTTAGTGACGACCCATGGTTACGTGGATACACGTCAAGACAGAGACTGAGAGGTGTTTGAGACATGAACCTCCCTTCCAGACGGGCCTCCAACCTCCCTTCTAGGTTGCTCCCACATCGTGATTCAGGGAGAAGGGCTGACATAGGAGGATAGTCTTTGTGCGTTATCCCTGTGACCTCTACGCTAGTTAGGCGGGTGTTCAGCGTCACTTAAGTGTGCCTGCGCTGTGAGCAGGATGTCGCGTAATCCCAGCAAAAGCGCTTGCAGTCGTCGCGCGAAAGGTAAACAGCATGCGCCAGACCACACCGGCACGCCTTGCTGTGATTTTAACGTTCCGGTGGCCATCGTGGGGAATGATCCTCTGCCCGTACCCGACGACATAATCTCTAGAATGTCTTCAGGCGTGCAAGTTCCTAAGTCTCCCACCGGCAGTCTCACTTCTGCCCTTACCAGCGACTATTTCCCGAGTCCAGAAGTCACGAATCATGTTGGGCAGAGTGGCAAAGTGGGGATGATGGACGCTCTTTGCATTCAAGACAGCTCCAATATCCCAACGTCTACGATCGACTTTCACAATGTGTGAGAACCCCGGTATCAAGGTGTGAGGCTGGAGATTTCACACATTGAATACTGAGCTCCCCCCCAACTTTGTCCCGCAGTGTCGTGAGCCTCATCCACCCAAAGCTCCGAAACGGCAAAACGTGGGTTGCCCTAGATACCGCCGCTTACAAGTTAGCCAGTTGTGGGAATAGCACATGCGGTGTCGACAGTGGAAAATTACTCTCGTACGACTACATATGCATTGTGGTCACATCCGAGTAAGTTAGACTCTCCATGCGACTTCCTTAATTTTTGCCTGCGATTGAGTTCCGTACATGTGTTCTAAGTTTTAGTTCTATCCAAGGACCCCAGGAATCTGCTCCCGAACCACAAAAGCATTGCCGTGGTTCAGGGTGCTGCGGCGTTGCTGAAGACGGATGAGGAGTGGGCTTGGTCGACGGATGAAATACCCCTCGTCGTCCTTTTCGACCCGGGCAGGGTCCATGCCCGCGCCTGTATGGAAGTCTTCAGAGATATCAACATGTAAGTGCGCAAGTCTACTGTGTTGACATGTCGGAAACCCCGTTCAACTATGATGTTGCCCGATTTTCCTGCAGGCTTCTTGGACGTGCACTTGCACAAGCTTTTCCCCAACTCAAGGCGGACGAATTGACATCTCGCCTTCAACGCGTTCATAGCCGAGCACTAAACGTAAGTGTGTCAGCGCTGTCTGCGTGATTTTTCATCTCCTGTCCCGATGGCATCCTGTATGACATGTTCAACAACAATGATGCATGATGGCTTCCCTTTGCAAGCCAACAGGTCCAGCAACAGGATCACGGAGTAGACTCAGGGATTTACGTGTGCATGTTCCTGTACGAGCTCGTCAAACGATCGTTCTGCGGCCTGGATCACGGCATCAAAGAGCTCCCAACCTGTGCTGCTCACTTTCGCCGATGGTTAAGGGGATTGATGTGCGATGCCGGGGAAGGTCAGCTGTTGGAGAAGCTGCGTTGCGGAACGGTGGATTTGCCAGGCCTTTGCCGGCATCATGCGGGTCTCGACATTAACGCTGGAGCCGACAACACCACGCTAGGTACATGAGCGCGGAGGTCAGGGCTCAAGGGTCGTGGCTCGATCGCGTCAATTCTGAACTCTCAGCAGTCAAAAGTCTCGTTACAAAATACGGGAACACTTGCGAGAGTATGGCCGCCCATGTGTCACAGATGCATGGCATCATGGAGCTGTTTGCGGAGAGGTATGGTTGTATCCCTCCCCGCGATTCTGTGGCCGAAGTCCTGGCTGAAGTCCCCAGTGCACCCACTACCGCGTCAGATGGGAGCAAGTGGAAATATGTGGGTGTTTCCCGTATGCCAGGAAGCAGCCGTTGGGCTGCTAAGCTTGTATGTGATGGGGCCGCCAACGCATCGATCATCATCAGCAGCAAGTTTCCGACTGAGATGGAGGCCGCGAGATCACTGGCAGCTGGTGTGTATGTGCTCTTCGGTCCATACGATGGACCGCGTGGCAACGTTATTGAGTTGAGCACAGGAGACAAGGCAAAGTTACAGGGTTGTTCGAAACAGCAGTGTAAGCTGATGATTCGTCACAAGTTTTGGCCCAGGTGGGAGAATTGGAGGGATGCCTAGCAGGATTGCGAGGAGAAGATACAGGCGAAAAAGCGAAAAGATGTGTTCAGTTGGGCGGATGGTCGTAAGCGCAAGACGGGTGTTGCGCGACGCAAAAAACGCAAGACTTGCTAAACATGCATGTCACGATATTGCACCATGCTAAAAAATGTGGGAGTACAAGTATGGTTTAATAGTCGGGTGGAAAGGGTAGTTTTCCATCAGTAGTGTCCTCACTGTTTGCTTGCTGGCTTTTTAGTGACCCTATAGAATTACTACAAGTGTACTTATATAGAACTCACAACATAATGAGATGAATGTATTGCTAGGGCTGAAACGATAGTTGGACAGGGGTCCTCAAAAGCTATAAACGCGTGTGTGACGGGGTTCAGACGGCTGTGTCTAGTGACGATCTTCGAAGACCACATCGATCACGGACATGTGACACGGCCATAACGGGAATGTGACGGGGTTCGGATGGGACAGTTGCGCAGCCAAGTGAAATTCACGTGGTTCGTGTCCGGTTGATAAATGGAGGTGTGACGGGGTTCATACGGGACCGTCCGGAGGAACTGCCCTCTCTAAGACGGAACAGTGACACAGCAGTAGCGGGCGCTCGACGGGGTTCTGACTGGAACGTAACCAGGCCTTCCATGCATGCCGTGGGGCTCACGGACCAGTGACATGGTCTTAACCGGAATGTGACGGGGTTCGGATAGGACAGTTGCGCTGCCAACCGAAATTCACTTGGTTCGTGTCCGGTTTATAAACGGAGGTGTGACGGGGTTCATACGGGACCCTCCAGAGGAAATGCCGGTGGGTGTCACGGAACAGTGACACGGCAATAGCGGACGTTCGACGGGGTTCTGACGGGAACGTAACCAGGCCTTTCATGAATGCCGAGGGGCTCACGGACTAGTGACATGGCCTTAACGGGAGAGTGACGGGGTTCATACGAAACCGTCAGAGGAACTGGCTGAAGCCCTGTCACGAAACCCTGACACGGCACTAACAGGAGATTGACGGGCTTCTGTCGGGATCGTCACGCGGCCATCTTTGAATGCCGCGGGGTTGACATAGACTTGTGACACAGCATATTAATGCACGTTGCTTTCCTTTTAATTTGTTCTCCCCAGGTTTCCATACCTGCATCCAGTTATTGCAAACTAAACTGAACACACACATTAGGCGACCAATCCGAACTCTATGGCCATCAATCCTACACATTGGTCCCCATACCCTCTTGGCCATTCCCCGCAGACGAGCCAGCTGCATCGTTTTGCAGACCATCCCCCGGTCTAGCCTTTTTGCTTGGGCGATCCTCCGCTAAAGCCAACACCTGCTGAAGCTCAGCCTGCTTCAGCGCATTCTTACGCTCCTTCGCCGCCAGCTTAACCATGCACTCCTCCCATGTTGGCCTCCAGTTCTCCCATCGGTGCCAAAATTTCTCCTCTATCACCAACTTACACATGCGGGCGTCGCAACCCTTGAGCTTTGCTATGTCACCTGCGGACAACTCGATCATCTTGCCTTTGTACGACGGATTATGTCCCCACACCAGGTGCCACCCTACCGCGTATGCACGCGCCGCCTCCACATCCGATCTAAACTTGCTGCTGATGGTTGCCTGGGAGTTTGTTTTCCACTGGAGTAGTATTTTTGCTGTCCAGGTGTTGCTCGTACTCAACCTCGTGACGCCAGTGTATTGGGTCTTTATGATATCTGGTTTGACCTCCTTGCTCTGCAGACGTGACATGCTCTCCGACGCAGCTGGCCCTCGGTGACTCTGTGCACCTAACCCGGTGAAGCTGCAGGTCAGGGAAGGTGCGACGTTTGGTACACCCCAAGGTGCAGCGACAAT